CAGATCAGTGGGGTAATAAGGCAGGTAAGTGAGGTAACAGTCAGATCAGTGGGGTAATAAGGCGGGTAAGTGAGTAACAGTCAGATCAGTGGGGTAATAAGGCAGGTAAGTGAGGTAACAGTCAGGTAAGTGGGGTAACAAGGCAGGTAAGTGAGGTGACTGTCAGATCAGTGGGGTAACAGTCAGATCAGTGGGATAATAAGGCAGGTTAGTGAGGTAACAGTCAGATCAGTGAGGTGACTGTCAGATAAGTGGGGTAATAAGGCAGGTAAGTACGATAAAATCAACTGTTATGTGATTAAAACTGTTCATTTGATAAAATATGAATCATGTTTCTTTTAGCTTTACAGCATAGAAGAGTCAGAAGTTCAGGTTATGGATGTTTTGAAGTCTCTGGTTTTGAACTGTGTGAGCTCACCTCCAGTATTGAATCACAGGCGGTGATCTGGTTGTGCAGTGATGCGATGTTCTGGCTCTCTTTGATATCTGTGCCGGTTTTGGTCAAGGACTTTGGAAAATCACTGTATCACATTTACAGTTCCACTGTATAAAATTTTCATTGTATTACAGTTTCACTAGGTCATATTTTCACTGTATTGTATAATCACTGTATCACAATTTCACTGTATCACTCATATTTTCACCGTATCATGTAATCACTGTATCACAATTATACTGTATCATGTGTTCACTGTATCATAAATATACTGTGTCATATTATCAATGTCATATATTCACTGTATCACAATTCTACTGTATCATATTATCACTGTTATATATTCACTGTATCACAATTCTACTGTATCATATTATCACTGTTATATATTCACTGTATCACAATTATACTAAATCATATTATCACTGTTATATATTCACTGTATCACAATTATACTAAATCATATTATCACTGTTATATATTCACTATATCACAATTTTACTGTATCATATTTTCACAGTGTCACAGTTTCACTGTGTCATATCACTGGGGTACATTTTCACTGTATCAGTTGGTTGCACTGTCTCACATCATTACTGCATCACAGTTTCACTGTATCACAACTCTACTCAAGCACTGATAGGCTAGATCACGAGGAGGGACGGTGACTGATCATTGCTTTAGGCCTCTTTATGAAACGTATTAAAGCGATAGTCTAGCAGAAAGTCAAACTCACCCATTTCTCCACTCTTACTCCAAAAGCAGGTGATCATCTAAGACACGTTTGAAGTTTGCTTTTTTAGTTTTTATCCTGGAGCTACAGGCTGATGTAGCTATGCAGTGGAAGCTTATACCCCACCAATTAGCAAGGCGCTAACTGCATGACTGACATGCCTGCTGGACACTGTATGACATACTGTGATCTACACATAGAAAAGGATACAGTCTTTGATTGACGCCTGTTCAATGCGCTGAAGCTCCGCCTCCACTTGCTTTGAGTACTGTCGCAGATCAACACCCTATAAAAGTGACAAAGATATTCAAACTGGATATTCTACCAAACCGGATATTCTACAACCAAAATGACCCATTAATAAACTAAATAATATTAAAATAATCCAAAATCTCACCGTTTTAAGGGCCTCCTTGACCAGCTCGTCCTCCAGGTTGGCCTGAATGTGGACTGAAGAGAGACAAACATAGACAGATTAAAGTTTACGCCCTTTAAATATCAGTCTGACTAAAACTGCTAGTCTGATATTATGAGATTACATAAACAGCACAGCTCGCTGGTCTTGGTACGATTAGGATCTTAGCGTAAGCTTAAAGGGTCCAAATCCTATGCTTTTATTTCATTCATGAGGAAATGGTTCTATAGATTGATGGAGAATGTGCTGTATATGGTTCTATATCGTACCAAAAAGGGTTCTTCTACAGTTACAAGCTTGACAATAGAAGAACCCTTTTTGGTGCTGTATAGAACCCTTTTGTGCACATTTTCCACCCAGCCGAAGAACTATTTAATCATGCAAACGGTTCTATAAATGTTCATGGAACCATTTTATTTACTAAAGAACCCTTAAAAGAACCATCTTTTTTAAGAGTGTAGTTACTGGCATTGTTTTATTCATTGAAGATCTAGTCGAACAGAATCTCCCTCTGGGATTAATAGAGTGATCTATGTATCTGAATACACACAGAGCGGAGCACGAGAGCACTTACTGTCCACCTCGTCCAGTATGAACTCGTCTGTGGTTATGTCCAGATCCCCCAGATTCAGCGCGGGGACGATGTCAGCGTCGGGCTTCTGACCAATGAATGAAGAAAGGATGGTGACGTCAGTTAACGAGGCAGAAAGCACTTTTACAGGAACTCAATCTGTGTTTAGTTTTAATGTGTTTTGAACTTTTCTTTCAAAACAGTCACACTTTCCTGTCAAACACACACGACCTGCAGGGGAACGGGGACGTCACTACACTGTGTGACGGAATGTGATCCAGGTTTTCCGTCAGATCCACTGAATCAGTATAATCAATAGTGTTGTACAACAAACATACAGACAGTAAGTATCAAACGAACAGTGTAAATCTGAGAGGCCGATACTGTTATCAGTCTCTACAGAGCGTCTATCTATAGTAGAACTCACTGTTATTGATCTATACTGGGCTTCTGGGTGCAGCCAATCAGAGCAAAGTGGGCACGCAGGGGGCGGGGCTTATGACATGGATACACCCACATTCAAATAATTGGGCTTTGGAACAGCAGGCGCAGAACTGAAAACGTCCAACTGGAGAACCGATATAACGTCAGAGCACAGTACTCCGGCACATTTCGCGCTTGCGGAAATATCTGAAGTCGCGTAGGACGTCATGATTGGTTCGACTCAAAATGCAAAATCTGCATAGCAACCAAAATGCATTCTGATTGGTCATATTTGGGTCAGTACTTTTAAAAAAATAAGAGAAAAACTTCATCTGTGTCGTCGGTTTCCACAGAAAGAGCAGTTTTCCATACAGTGTTTTCCTGCATTTAGTTTTATGTTTCATTAAATCTGATTGGGCAAAGATGGACGTTAACTGATCATACGTTTTTTAAAAAATGATTAATATAAACAATATGTGCAATAAATGAGGTGAACATGGAAAAAAGCCTAGTAAAGTGAGGCAGTGGTGTAATGTAACTCAGCTGACGGTGTGAACTTAAGTTAACAACTCGATATTAAACATACTGTGCTTCATGGTGCCGATCCACTGTTTAATATTACTAAAAATGACGTTAAAACGTGCTAAAATGCATTTTCACTGGCTGTGAAAGTTTCCCCACACCATTCACATTCGCATCCCTGTGTTTCCCCACCCACCACTTCCGTGTGGCCATTCATGGACATATGACCATGTCTCAGATGTGTCGTTGATAAGTGACAAGAAAGTGTTTCTATTACGTAAACAGGAAAAGCCGCAGGTGTATGGAATACCGTGCTCTTACGTTACCTAATAATCAGAGCTCTGAAGAAGGAGGAGAGCTTTAACATATAAAGTATCGAAAAACTGAACCGAATCTTTACCTTCAAAAACCATATTGAACCTGAAGACGTGTATCGTTACACCCCTAATGTACCGCTGTACAACACAGCTGGGATTCTCCAGCCTCTTGTTCGAATTTGTCCGTTCCACCTTAAATGGTGCAGCAGTTACATTCTGTAGCTATGTTACATTCCCAGTGTAACCGCTGCACCATTTAAGGTGGAACGGGAAAATTCGAACAAGAAGCTGGAAAATAAGAGGCCATCAACTCTAATTTAACTACAGAGGAAGGTCTTCATCAGGACTGGAGAGAAATAAAGCAGAAATCGTTCTCTACTGTACTTCATTTTCCATTTTTAAGTATTTGTGCTTCGATTTATTTACTAATCTGGGGATTTTAACCGTTAGTGTGTTGATATGGCAACAGAAGACAGCAGGCTAAGTTAGCTAAATGAGATCTTCAGGTCTTGTAATGGTTGTTAGAGTTACACAGCCAGGATTTCAGCTGAAATAAAGCTGCAGATCATCATTAATGCGCTGTCTCACTCAGCCAGGACGTTAAATTAAAGCTCGGCTGTGACTAAATGATCAGCTGATTTGGCACCGAGCTGCTAACAGCTCAGCGAACGGCTGCGGTCAGAAATCCTCATTTTTAAATAAAAATAGCCTCTAAAATGTACCTCGTCCTGTAAATAAGCCATAGCGGTGGTCGCGGAGCCCCCAGCTGTGTTTATATCAGCAGCGGCCTCGCCGGGGAGCAGATCCTCCGCCATTACGACGAACAGATACTAAAAAACTACAATGACCATCAAAACTACAACACACAAGTCCGTCACGATTTCTTGTCCGACGAGAAACCAAGACCGCAGTCCCGGTTACAACACATATGAGACGTTTCGTGTCTTCATCATGTTGATTTATATATATATATATATATATATATATATATATATATATATATATATATATATATATATATATATAGCACATTTAAACTAAACCATGTTTATGTTTATGTATAACACGTTTTAAATCTAAAAGACACTTTAATTATGTATGAGATATTTTGTGTATGATTTTAAACAAACGAAGCGAAAACACTACTTTATCAACCTAGAAACGCATCGTAATTCGCATGATTTTTAAAGTTATTAACTTCCATCAAATATTAACTTGCTAGATCAACATTACATTTTTTTAGTTTCTTGCACAGACAGCATAACAAACAGCATAAAAAATACAAACAACACAGAAAGATCATTACAAAAATAATTACAGTTAATACTGATGTTTAACTGTGATATTAAGAGGATGTCAAGGAGATCACAGACAATAGTGATGTGATAAAAGTGATATTTTAATATTAATAGAAATTAATTACCGACAACAGGGATATTTTCGTATTGATTGCAGCACTTTCATTAACATTTAATACATATTAATATAATTTTTGATGTAATTATTATTTATTTTCATATTAGCATGGATTACTATTAATGTAGTAATAGCTAGAGGACTTTTATTTACAGGCGACGAAATCGCTTCCTGCACAAATTACGCCGTAGTTCTCGCGAGATCTGCGTCCTGTCCTTTTTCCGCGGACCCAGCGCCGAGATGGTGAGTGTGAGAGCGACTCTGACAATAAACATCAAAAATCCTCAAACATCGCCTTCATCGGGCTTCATACAGCGCCTCTGACTGCTCTGTTGTTGTGGAGACATCTTGTAAAAGTAGTACCGATGTGTATTTTGAGTCAACAAACACGATATAATGAGATAGGAGGGTAAAAGTAGCCGAGTGCTAGTTGAGTGAGTCGCTGTTTAGCTGAACTGCACCAAGTTCCCGAGAGATAAACGCGCTTTTCTTCACCTGTTCGGGCGAAATCTGTGATAAATAATCGTGATAGTTTGCGATAAAGTCTTTAAAAGACACGTACGTGACTCTTAGAGTCAGTGTAGCTGAGATGGACGGCGCTGAACTCAACTGCATATTCGAATTTTCCGTTCCACCTTAAATGAGGCACCAGATGCACTCTGGCACAGACTTTGTAGTAACTGCTGCAGCATTTAAGGTGGAACGGGAAAATTAGAATCAGAATTTAAGCTTCGTCAAATTTAATCTGGTATTCATAACGTCTACACAGCCTGCAGTTAAACAGTTACTGAGCTGAAAGTCTTTAGCGTTAGCCTCTGTCTGAAGGAGTAGTCCACCCAAAAATAAAATTTACAGGTTTCATCTTTATTTAAAGCGTAGCTAAGGCATGTTGGTTGGGTGAAGTTCGCCTCTTCAGTTTTGCACTGGAGCTGTGGGGCTAATGTAGATGCCTGGTGGTCATCTAAAGTCATGTGTTGGCATCATGTAGGAGTGGACAGCATGGCAATAATATAACTTAAGACTCCATTATTTGAGGTTTAAGATAGTTTTCAATGTTTTTTAACTCCTACATGCTATGATTACAGTGATTTATTTAAGTTTGGCCAAGCTGCACTCAAGATCTGGTATTAAAGCATGCAGTTCAGTGTTTTTTACATGCTGATCTCTCAGGATGCTCAGATAAGTGATGCATGATGTAAGTTATCACCATAAGGATAAAATAGGGATACACCGCTCACTAAAGCTAGACATGCAAAGGTCTCAGACGCGGAGCAGGTTTTGGCTAATTGTATTTGGCAAAACTGTACGTCTGATGCAGATGTTGGGTGATGGAGGTCTAATTTCACCTGAAGCTGCAGACGTTTAACCACCTCTGTGGATGTTTCCACTTTTGTGTTTCTTCTCACAGTCTCTCGTGATCCCAGAGAAGTTCCAGCACATTCTTCGTGTTCTCAACACGAACATCGATGGTAGGAGGAAGATCGCCTTCGCCATCACTGCTATCAAGGTGAGCTGGAGTGAAGAGCGTTCACCAGACAAAAGCATGTCCTTCTAAAGCCGGGGTGTCCTCTTCTGGTCCTGGAGGGATGGAGGCCTTCTCTGATGCGCCTGCTAAACCTGATAACTCAACAGTTAGTCTAAATTAGGCGTGTTTGGTCAGGAAAAAGCACCGGATTGTGGTTCTCCAGGACCAGAGCTGGACGTCACTGCTGAAAGATCAGTTCTGTAAACTTGTTTTTGATTTAGAGAAGAAACGATGTCTGATTTGGTCAGTGTCTACTTGAGCTGTATTTGTTGTTGACTGAGTGTGTCCTGTTCAGGGTGTTGGTAGACGATATGCCCACGTCGTCCTGAGGAAGGCAGACATCGACCTCAACAAGAGGGCTGGAGAGCTCACTGAAGATGAGGTACGTCACTGATAGCTTTGTTTGATCAGTAGGATTTAACTACTTAAGCTGAACTGCATCAGTAAATCAGACTGTCATATTAACCGTATATGGTTAATGCTTCTACCAGGGTGTAGATGGAACCTTTTTCCTGATCAGTGTCGTGTTTTCATGTAAAGATTGAAGCTGTTCTAGACCTTAAGGATGTAGTTAGACCATCCTTTTTATATTAAGGGTATCAAACCGAGGAGATGGTCAGGTTGTACCTTTTGGTGGTGGCCACACTAATAAATTGGTGAATTTGCTTATACTCTGTTAATCTGAAGGATGGTGTAGGGTTCCATATTGGATCAGTGTCCTAATTTAACAAAGGTTCATTTTAAAGGTGATGGAGGCAGATTAAGTTTTCATGCTAGGCAGAAAAACAAGGGCACCAAACTGCAGACTTGTCCTGAAACTACAAGGCTTTCCTGAGCATATTTGCTAGTGATTAAAGTATTGAACAGGAGGCTGAGTTATTGGTATTACTGTGTAACAGCATTATAAACACTTGCATGTTATTATATACCATTTATTTGGAGGGGTGTTGGATATTGTGCTAACTGCTTTCACGTTGCACAAGACTCCTGTACTGCTGTCCAAAAAAACCATTTTTTTATCCTATTAAGCTTTTTAATGCACTTAATACTGTTGAGTTGTGATCATAGGAATTTGTTTGGTTGTATTCGACTTCCTCTCTTCTTTTTTCAGTGTTATGGAAAACATTGTCAGGCAATTTGTGTAAAACTGGTGTTTAATGCTTTCTTTCTTTTTCCTTTTCCTCCAGGTTGAGAGGGTTGTGACAATTATGCAGAATCCTCGCCAGTACAAAATCCCTGACTGGTTCCTGAACAGGCAGAAGGACATTAAGGATGGCAAATACAGCCAGGTACGACCATCCCAGGCTTTTCAGGCTAAAGGTTTTTACTCTGAAATGGGAGTAAAATGGGAGGTGTCCAGTCCATAAAGGGCTGGTGTGGCTGCAGGTTTTCCCTCAAAACAAGTTGGAGCTTACCTGATTCCACATGTTTAATCAGTTGGTTTCAGTCTTCAAACTGCTGATCGGGTGATCTCCTGCTTTTTGGGAATGAACACCTGCTGCCACACCAGCCCTTTGTGGATAAGATTGGACATGCCTTGTTCTAGAGCTATGGTCACCAACCAGCTCTTCTTCGGGAGAGCTTCTTCCTGCAGAGTTTAGATCCAGACTCCATCTAAAATGCTGCCTCCTCCTTATCAAACACTGATGAATCTGATGGAGCCAATCAGGGACTTCTGCGTTTATTTAGCCGCAGCAGTTGTGTCAGTGTAATTGGAACAGGACTCTGCAGGAAGGTGGAGCTCCAGGACCAGAGCTGGTGACCACTGCTCTGGAGTTAATACCTTCAGCTACCACAGTGCGCCACCTTTTTCGGTGGTTAGTTGCAGGTTAAGGGTGTAACGACTCGCAAAACTCAATGTGGTTCAATATCTGTATGTGTAGCCGCAGCTGAAAATAGCCATGCTCGCTCTGTCCTGTGCTCATGGTGTGTGTTGTTGTAGGTCCTGGCCAACGGTCTGGATAACAAACTGAGAGAAGACTTGGAGAGGCTGAAGAAGATCAGGGCCCACCGTGGTCTCAGGCACTTCTGGGGGTGAGCAGCTCACTTTATCAGTCATTCAGGATCTTTTATTTCAGCTCATGGAAAGTTTCATGTTGTGATCCGTTGTTCTCGTAACTCTGGGGAGAAATACAGCGTCTGATTTGTAAATGTGCTGTAGGTGTCGGTAATTTGGGTGAGGTCCACTGCGTCCGAGTTTGCCCACATAAACATACACAGTTTTACGGATTTATGTAAAAAGACAGTAAAGATGGGCTCTTGAGTGGCGCAACCGTCTAAGCTTTGGCCCTGTCATCAGGAGATCGTTAGATCTCAGGTGATGTTACAGCCGTCCGTGTCCGGGAGTCCAAGAGAGCACGGTTGTCCTTACTCTCTGGGTGGGCAGGATGGCCCCCCATCACTCAGCGTGATGCTAGTCAGCGCAGGCGTCTGTTAGATCTGCCGGTTGGCGTTTTCCTCTGAGCGCATTCGGCTGTCCAGTGACTTTGCGTGAGCAGCAGTTCAAAAAGATGTGGTGGAGCTTCACAGGTCTCGGAGGAAGCCTGTGTTTGCCTTCACCCTCCTGATGCTGGTGGTATTGTGTGATTGGGGGAGTCCTAACTAGAAGGTGAAATTGGATATGACTAAACTGGGGGGGATTCAGGTCATGGCACTGGTGTTGGCATCTCTCATAGCTGAGGGAAATGGGTAAGGTAGCGTCATAGCAGAGAATACTTCAGGTGAGCTAAAACTGCAGCTAGTGGGTATCACTATGCTGATGAGGACTTGGCTTTTCTACAGCTGTGCTTTTTTTCTCTTCAGTAGACGATGTGCCAGAATGTTCTTTTGCCAGAGAAATATATTAACTAAATCTACTATCAGTTGTGCACACTCATGTTTTGGAGTAACAGAGAATGGCATTTTATTAACAAGCCCAAATTTTTGCATTTTTATTTATTTTTAATCTGTTTTCCTGCAATGAAAGTTCAAACAACCGAACAGGGATTTTAGTTTTCGGACACTGGCCCCTTTAGACAGTTAGTGCTCCAGTTTCTGTACATACAACTATTCAAAATGAGCTTTTATGGACTTCCTCTTTTTCAGTAGTCAGTTGTTTTGTGTTCTCTCTGCTCTAAAACCCTTTGGCTTCTTGACTGACTACACTAAGACACTGAAATTAATGCATTATTGGCTCCTGCAGTACTGATTGCACACTGAATGCAGTGATTCTCTAACCAAACACAGTGTTTTGTACTGTGAGCATCTTGACTAATTGAATTCACGTTTTTTCTCTCTCTTCTAGTCTGCGTGTGCGTGGTCAGCACACTAAGACCACTGGCCGTCGTGGACGTACCGTCGGTGTGTCCAAGAAGAAGTGATCGCCCTCCCTGCTCCCCTGGTATCAATAAAATCACACTGTTCATAAAAAAAAAGCCCCTCTTTGTCCTTGTTTGTGCTCTTTGGCTCGAAGCCTCTTCAGGGTATCTACAGGTCTCTTAAATGTCTGTAGCTGAACTGAATGGGATTTAAAAGCCTAAAAATGTTCTACTAGGTGTGACGCACTGCTAGCTTTACACTGAAATGCAGAAGTAAACAGTAGCTTTATCTGGAAATGCATGCTCTGTGTGGTTCAGTTCTACGTTATTGTGTAAGGTTCACTTTGGCGTCATTTCAAGTGAAGGAATAACAGTGAACAAAACAAGCTACGTCAGACGTTCTTTCAGTATAAAGCAGCAGAATTCATTAATGATTAACTTCACTGAGGTATATCTGGAAAATAATGTGGCGAATTTGTTCAGTACAGTTCAATACTAAGGTACTGATGTCCTTAATTTGACAGTACTGCCTGTTTCACAAACACATAGAATTGATTACTACATACGCAGACTGGTGGTGAAACTCCATCTGTTGAACCATCTACATGAATTCTGTCCAGTGGTTCAGATGTAAACAGTCATTCAGGGTGGTTTGGTGTGAAACGCTCTGTTCTAGAGAAACTTACTGAGTCAGAACTGTTCACAGTGGTGGTGATAGGAACCAGACGTCCACCTCTAAAAGCTCCCTCACAGAAAGTTCCTACATGAAATGGTTATGAATTCACTGCCTGATGACTGAAACACTGTGTTATGGTAGTTTTGATAAGATTTTGGTCTAAAATAAATACACACATGTATTCATGGTGGAGGGATACATGCAGGGCGTTGTGAGGCAAAATAGTCCCCAAAGAAAACTTATTTCAGATTTTCCACTATTTTCCATCATCAACATTCATATAAACTCAGAAGACTCGTGTAGGTTCACTGGTGGTTCTAGATAGTAAATAAAATGTCTATATTTGTGTTGTAGTCATGGTGACCCCTGGTTCCTATCAGCACCACTGTAAAGACATCTGAACCATTTCACACCAAACCACTCTGAATCACTCTGATTACAGCTCAAACACAGTTATGGAGAAACTTTTCACCTGTTACAGCCTTTCATACAGAAGCTGGGGTAGTAATGGCTTCAGGAATGACCTAATTAACCTGGGACTTTCTCTGGATGTTGGCCAGTATGAAGGGTTTTCGGTGTAATTCAGATTGTAGACACTGGTCTCTTTTTTTCAGTTTTTTCAACCCAACACAATGTGTTGTAGCACCTATACCAGAGTCTCACAGTCCTGCTCCTGCTGACCCACAACACTGCACAGTTCCAGCTGATGATTATGAAGCCCTGTGTATCTTCCCCACTTTTACTACTTTCACAGAATACAAAATACTGCTGAAGAAGGAAACGTTCTTGTGGTAGATCTTTTAATTCAAAACAAAGAAAACTCAATTCATAATTCATCTTAAACCTTATTTTTTGCATATACATATATAAATCTGAATCAATCGTCTGCATAAACTGCCAAAGCAATATCATATATAAATATGTGGTCATTAAGAATCTGTACTAAATGCTACAAAATTTGTACAATAGCAACAGGACAGAAGTGCCGTATTAAACAAGGCAGGAGTGAACAGAGGGGCACAAACAGCAGGTGTTTACAGTCGGACGACCAGTTTGACCTACGAAGGTGAGGAGAACTAACCTACTCATAGTAAGGATGGGACGTTCGCTGGTTTTAATGGTGAACAGTGGTATAAAACCCAGTGAGAACCGAATCATTTCAGATTTTAAGGATTATGGAAACCATGTAGGACTACCGTCTTTAAAAAGTGATGATGGGACTTAATAGATCAACCAGCACAAGAACAACACAGGGTGGGTTACAAAACATGGGTTTTCTAAGTTGCTCATCAGTGCAAATAATGACAGAGTGTTGACTTTTTAAAGTTGACTTGTTATCAGTAAAGTTCCTATTAATATAACACCTGTGATGAAAGGATTTGTGTTTTTTAGTGTTTTATAAACATTTTTAATCTATTTTAATAATAACACCATCATTTTGGTGACAATATGTTATGACTCCACATATGAATCATATTCGTTTTGTGATTTTCTGGTGCATCTAATAAGAAGTAAAGAGTGATGCAAAGTTCTGTGTCCAAGCAATCTCTCATGAGGTGTGATTTATAAACAGGATATCAATAAATTTCATCTGAAATCTGAAGTGGCTGCAGAGGTTCTCGTACGCTGTATATAAAATTCTCGTGTGTGTTATTTACGCATCTGGGAGGTGTTTCACAGAGCAGGGTTTCAAAGTGAGGATTATCAAATAAAAAACACTATTAGATCGGCTCTTATTGGACAGGCCTGAGTTTTGGGTTTAAATGATCTGACTAACCAAATTGTGCCCAATTGTTTTCCTCTGATTTTGTGCTCACAGATGAACAAACCCATGATCTGTTAAAAAACTTTCAGCATATATTTTCTCTACATCTGTAAAACTCCTTTAAATGACTGTTTTCTACTATGTGAATCTTTAAAAAGCTGTAAAACGTTATTAGATTTTATAAAAAAACAGGAGTACATACACTGGAGTTATTAGTGTGCGTATAAAACCCTGCCTTGTGGAATAACCTCCGACCTTCCTTTAGACCTGGCATGTCAAACCGGGGACCTTCTGGGCCAGAGTGCTGTGGAGATCAGCGTTTACCCTCATCTAACGCTCTGAATCAGGTGTGTTTAATGAGACAGTGTGATGAAGTCTGCAGAGCTTTGGCCTGCGAGGACTGGAGTCTGACACAGGTGTGGTTTAGAGCCTACAGGCCCAACACAGTCACACAAGAAGTGAACTGAATCTGCAGTGATTGGAGTTTTATCGTCCTTCATGGCTGTGAGGGTCCGGTCGGCGGTGTTTTCTGTGGCTGCTGCTGCTGTTCTTTGGTGGGAGCGTAGTAAAGCTCCAGAGGTTTGCTCACCTTCCAGTACTTCTCATTCACCAGCTCCAGCGTCAGAGAGCCGTTCAACGTCTGTCAGACAGGAGAAGAAGCATAAAGGACAAACAGTCATAAACAGGACCGGGTACCAGTCAAAATACGTGGATACTGACAGCTTGACTTCGATACCAATGATAACAACATCAATAATAATAATAACAACAACAACAATGATAGTGATGTGTTATATGGCACCTTTCAAAAACCCAAGGATACTTGATACAAATTGATTCCTAAACAATATATTTTAAAATTTCACAATTGTAAGTTCAGTATTTTAGACAGAGTCAGTTCAGTGTAGTAACGCTGACAGCAGAGTACTCAGGTATTGAAATCTGGTATTTTTCAATATTCTTTGGTATCAGAGCAATTTGTTTGATGTCATAAAAGTATGGTTTTTAATAAAAGAAGACAATGGCCCAAAAACTGAAGTGAGTCAGCAACAATGAGAAATTTTCTAATATTTAATACCAAATTAACCCAGTGGAATTTTATTATGTAGGCATATGTAATTCATTATGAAACAAAGTGTAATTTAAATAATTGCATGGGAAAAATGTCAGTAATAACTTTAGCCTCTGAAGGGTAAAAGATACATGATAGTATTTAGCCTTTATTAATAACTGGATGGCAGAAGAACTCATCTGAGGGCGTTTTTCCACGGTACATTCAAAACAAGAACTGACCCAGAACTGCTATTGTTATTATTTTGGTCATTTTATGCCACTCTAAAGCATTTAAATTGGCTAATTAGCAACTGTTTGCTAGCTTTAGTTAGCATGTTGGCTGGTGTGAAAAACAGACACAAATGTCTACGTGTGTAAAATCAAGGGGTCAAAGCCAATTTTTAAATTTTTTCTGTCGGGTGTGAAAATATCAGCAAAAGCACTCAGTGGAGGCTAGCACAAACGCTAACGATGTTAGCTTTCTAACTATACTCTTAAAAAGATGGTTCTTCAAGGGTTCTTTAGCACAGATTATATATATATATATATATATATATATATATATATATATATATAATGCAAAGAACCCTTTAATCATGCAAAGGGTTTCTTTGAGTGTTCATGGTTCTCAAATTCAAGCAAACTCCTCTCAAAGTAAGAACTGGTGACTTTGTTTTCATCTGGAAGAGTAAAGAATTGTCTGAACAGATCCTGTTGGTACCAATATTGACCACATACCAAAAACAGAAAACTGGAACCTTCCGTGCTGGCCAGTTTTCTGGTTCTAAATGTTCTGGTACTTTGTGCAGTGGGAAGACGCTCTAACAGAGCTAGACTGCGTACTTACGGAGAACTGTCCTCCGGCTGTAGTGATGTAGATGGTGTACTGTTTCTCACTGACGTTCTGCAGGCTGCTCCCTCCTCCCTCCTCCCTCGTTCCTGTTTCTCCCTCTGCAGGCCGCTGTGTATTCGAGTGCGTGTCCCTCTGCTGCTCCTCCAGAGCGATTCGCAGAGCCAGGTACTTGGACAGATGGTCCACTGTAGCGTTGGCTGTGGTCTTCACATACCTGAGGAGCAGGCAGAGCAGAAAAGAGCTCATTCAGTGATTCAGTGAAAACCATAATTTCACAAATATTTGACTCGGTTCGGTTCTTTAGGTTCTAAATGACCATGAAGTCTTGTGAAATCTCAAATTTCTCAAACTTTAAATTTGAAACGGTTCTTGTGGAAATGATTCAGTAAATCATGAAATTTCTCAGATTTGAATAAAAATAAAAATAAAATAAATCTCAGATTTGATTAAATTCAGTTATTTAGGACTATTCAGTAAATCAGGAAATCTCAAATTTAATAATAAATTGAGTCAATTCAGTTCCTTAGGAAATGATTCAATGAATCATGAAATCTTAAATTTGACAAAAGATTCTGTCAATTCAGTGCTTTAGGAAATAATTTAGTAATTAATGAAAACTTACATTTAACAGAGGTTTGATTTAACTCAGTTCTTTGGAAAACAAGTAAATCGTGAAAACTCAGATTTCATAAAGATTTAATTCACTTCTTCAGTAAACAATTCATACATCATAAAATCTCAAATATCACAATTTTTTTATGTGATTTTTGATTTGAGTTTTTCAGGAGATCATTCGGTGCTCTATGAAATCTGAATTTGATTCAGTTCAGTTGATTCTGTAATTGTAATGCAGAATTATTTATAAAAATACAGCAAATGAAAATGTAACTGAAGTAGTATTAACACTGTAGTGGAATTTAGAGAACAAAAAAAACTTTGTATTTTGGGTTTTAACACTTCAACACATTTTCTGCATATTTTATTTTAGCAAATAACATTGTAAACATTTAATGTTATTGTAATTGATGATAATTAATTATAACTTCAAAATTCTCTAAGCCCTTCATAAATTAGGTCCTTCTAGTTTAAGAAATGTTTTACAAAAGTAAAACCAAAGAAAGTCATCTTATTTATTTCCTTTTATTGTCTATTAAAAGTGGAGACACCGGCCCACACATATTATAAAGAGTCAGTCATTCAATCGCACCCTGCTCAGGTTGCTCTGACCTGGTCTGGCTGTAGTGCTGCGTGTTGGCCAGTAAGGGGTGTGGGTGGAACACTAGCTCTATCTCGGAGGTGGGGCTCTGGCCTGGGGGTCTACGGCTCTCCCCTTCAGCCTCCGAGTCGTCGGACCCTCGCTGCCTCTTACTGCGACTGGGCCCGGCCTCTGGGGCGTGGCTGGAGGGGGCGGAGTTCATGTGAGAAGGGGCGGAGTCATGTGAGACGTGCGAGCGAGAGTCAGCGTTGTCCTCTCCGCCGCTGAAGGTGGTGTTATCGCTCTCCTGCTGAGGTTTCCGCACACGCTGAGGCCTGAAGACACCAACAACAGCAACATTAGGGTTCTCACAATGCATAATGAACTTAAACTGATGCTGCGTTTATGATCAAGTGGGAACCGGGAAGTTCCAAGTAGGAAAAATTCATGTGAAAGTCCTGTGAATCAGTAATTCCTTAAGTTCCTTAAGTTGTGTCATTTTTTGAAACAATACTGTTGGTGAAATACAATAGCCTAGATCAGGGATCACAACCCAAATGTTAGGAGCCATTTTGTCCTTTCAACAAAAATCAAACCACCTTGGGAGCCACAACACTATGTCCATTTCACCATCTTGACTGTAAATGTGTCTCAGTATGTGCTGATGTACAGGATAAAAAAATATAAACAAAAATGCAGACTTACTTTGCTCTGCTTTAAGCTTTAGCTCAGCTGTAGCCCCTTTTCTCACATCTCCAGCAGGAAACTTTTCCTCATATGTGGAACAGTTTCTAGTAAAATATCTCTCAACGCTCAAGTTTTTACGAGGCTGAAGTTGCTTCTCGTTTTGCAGCTTCTTGTTTGAATTTTCCTGTTCCACCTCAAATGGTGCAGCAGTAACATTATGGCGCCTCAAACACCATTTAAGGTGGAATGAGAGAATTTGAATGCGAAGCTGGTGAATGAGAAGCAACTTTAGCTTCATGACTTTTTAGTGTTTGTCAGTATCAGGAAACCAGCTGGAGTGATTATAAACGCTAATAAGTCCATTCGTCTCCAAATTATCGATGTTCATCTTAAATCTCTCTCTTTGCCGTTTTGTTAACTACTAGCTGGGCGAGACTGTTGCCTGTGTTGCTATGGTGACCAGCAGTCTGCGCTGATCTTCAGGGTTAAAGGGTGAATCAGCAGTTCTACATTAACTCCAGAGTTTAAGACCATTTATTGTTAAACTGTGTTGAACGATCAGCAGAGCTTTATTTTACTGTAAAGGAGGATTATTTTATTTTTACCTACAAATCTGATTCAGCTGTGGAGCCACAACAGGACAGTAAAAGAGCTGCATGTTGCCGACCGCTGAGCTAAATCAACATTTAAAATAAATAAAGAACTATGCAAACTGCTCTTTAATTCAACTGTAAGAACTTTTTACAGGCATACAGCAGCCAAACAAGCACTAGCTTACTGTGAGCATCCTTTTTTTCCAACCTCAAAGAGCTAAAGTTGCAGCAACGCTTTGAGATGGGAAGTAGAAGACTTTGGGTGGGAAAACTCCGAGCTGTCATAAATGCAGAATTAGTTTGAGATTTACAAAACCAATGAAACTACAGTGAACTCGACACTTTACGACAGCAGTTAACCGCTTCCTCTGTTAGATTTCCACACGATCAGGGTATCTGGAGTGAAAAATATCACACTGTACCTCATTAGCGAATATCAGCAGGTGTAGTGTTCACTATGGTGTATTAGTGCTTGTGTTGTGGTGAGTGTGTGTACTTGTGTAAGGCCTGCATGCGGAGCCCCTCCTCGATGCTGGAGCTCAGCGCGGTTTTGTTGTGCAGTCGGCTCAGCTGCTCCAGAACGCGGTCCTGATGAGCCTCGTACTCGTCCCGACTCGGATAAATCTTGGAAATCAGAGCGTCGAAGTTTGGGTCTCTCCGCAGAGAGCGCTTAGAGACCAGCTTCTTCCTACAGGTGGGGCACTCTTTATTACTGCGGCACAGAGGAGAGAGGGAGGAGAGGAGAGGAAAAAGGAGGAGAGGATATTTTTATTAAAGCACTGAAAAGTTTATTTAATTGCATAAAATGTGTGTTAATATTTGCTGATTTTCAGACTTTGGGACACATTTACTTCAAAACAATGGGATCTAACTGCTCACCATGTGGCCATGAGGGACAGGGATGCAGCCTCACTTCCTGCTCTAAAATGCAAGGGCGTGGCTAAAATAAGGCTCCGCCCACAGATTAAAACTCTCTGTTTTAGTAGGGTCATAAAACATGGAAGAGCAAGCCTTTTTATTTAAAAAAATAAACTCATAGTAAATCTAAATCTTCCAACTTCACTTTAGAACATAGACATTTAGCAAAAAAAAATGTTATTTTCAAGTGTAAATTTTGAGGTTAGGGTTTGGGACAGACACTGCACAATAGAATGTACCCTGTAAACGATGGTTTTTTATATATTTAGCTTATAACTATATCTATTAATGGCTTAAATAGATCATAACAATCCTTATAAATATCTTTGATCTGAATACTTTTTTATGGGACCCCAGTTTGAATTGATTCAGTAGGATGCTCCTTATAACTTTTAAAAATACATTATTATGACTTTATCAGTGAGATTTTTTACACTGATGCCAACAAATCTTAATATCCTGATTCCAACAAATTGACCAATATCAACACCCACACACATCAGTCAGGCCTTAGTGTCCAGATATTATATCATAAACCATATACAGTTAGTTCATGTTTGTGTTCCACACACAGTGATGTTTATTCATCAAAGTTGCGTAAAACAGAGCAGATTTGATCTCTTTTATTGATGTATGCGTCCAATTCATGAAACTTTCATACCATGTAGAAATGAACGGAGATTTGAGCTCAAATGATGAATCAACTTCAGTGCGTGAAATCAAGTGCCAGCCTACAAGCATTTCATTTACATATCATTTACATGAAGCACACCATAATTCATGCAGATGTTTTGGTAAAGAGCCAATAAAATGACAACATTCAGTGGCTCGTGAGCCAATGGCAGAGCTTGTAGGCGGAGTTTGAGGTCAAGCAGTGAATGCACTGCTCCCCCTACGGACCAAACTTTATTACAACCGCTGGAAAGAATAAAATGTGAAATACACAAACGTCCTACACTATTTAAGACAGTAGAATGATGTGGCGGTGTCATGTGATTATATTCTTAAAATGACAGATTTAAACACTGTATTATTGTAGTGTATGAAATGCTTCTGCACCAGCCGTATTTTGTGTTGTTTATTATGTGGGCAGAGTCAGTAGTATAAAACAAAAGCACAGTGTAATATGTCTTTAAATGGAACATGGAATATTTGCAGCATTTGTTTATATTAATATGCATGTAAAATAAGTAGATCCACCTTTATGCTGGATGGCCCTGTGCACAGATTATTAGTATTATTGTTATTTTCTATTTAAATCCTTATTGTTGGTATTATAGATGATGAAATGAGATTTGACTGTACACAGATTTAAATAAGGGCCAAAGTGTAAGTCAGGGGTGTCCAAAGTCCACTTCCCAGGCCAAACGCAGCCTATGATTTTAATGCACTCTCACTGTGGACTGTAGGTGGCACACCAGCTAGTTGAAGGTGGCAGCAATGTGTTAAACCACACTGTTTTAATGATGTTTGCCGAAGTGTAGGTACATTTACACACTTTTACATTTACACACAATTACTGTTTAGTTGATAGGTAATGTAAATTTAACATATTGGAAAAAATCAAAAATTGTGGCCAGTGCAAAAGTTACGGCACATTTTATATCTTGTGTTTTAATTTTTCCCAAATATATTAGCCCAACTTTCTATGTTATTCCCAATATTACCCCAAAATTAGCAGAAATATTATGTTTTTTTTCCTGTTGAGCAGTTGATCTCAAACCCGTCCTCAGAGGCCTGCCAGATAGTCCACATTTTTGCCCTGTCCCTCTACTGGAGGGTCTGGGGGTCCCTGAGGACCGATCTGAGAACCACTGCTGTAGAGGATGTGTTAACTTATTTTCAGTGAGAAAGTCAATAAAGATGTAAGTTGACCAGGGGCGCCCAAACCTTTGTATTCAACTGTAAGTGTACGTGAGGGTGTGTTTGTTTAATGCTCACCCTGATCTGAGCGCAGTGATGATGCACTCAGAGCAGAAGCGGTGGAGGCACTCTTTGGTGGTCATAGTGTTCTTCAGCATGTCCAGGCAGATGGGACACATCAGCTCACTGTGGAGGCTCCTGGGAGACACGGCAATCTCTGTGCTGTCCACAATCGCCTCCTGCAGACCCGGGAACAACAACACCAACTCTTATTTAATTCATATACATCCAAAATGATCCAAGTTCTTCTAAATAAAGAATTCATTACATTACTACATTCTTTACATTCTTAGTAAGGACCTGTGCCAAAAAATGTTCTGTTTCATCTTAAATTGAGCAGCAGTTACATTCTAGCGCTTAAATGTGGGTCTATTAAGTGTCTGTTTAGTACTCACAGCTTGTATAATCCTCATAGAAAAGCACTGACCAGTAGAATGGGAGCCTAAGGTCAACCATGTCCAATGCCAAGTGTGGACTAGAGGGGTATAAAGCCCCCCAGCATTGGGCTGTGGAGCAGTGGAACTGTGTTCTCTAGAGTGATGGAGCTCCATCCAATACCTTTGGGATGATCATTGATCCAGAACTGACCATCCAACATCAGTACCTGACCTCACTAATGCTCAATCAAATCCTCACAACAATGTTCAACATCTAGTCTAAAGCCTGCCCAGAAGAGTAGATGCTGTTACTGCAGCACAGACTCACTATTAACACTTATTGAAATATCGTCGCCACAGATTATCTTATGGTGGAAAATGTGCTTTTTATTATTTTATGGAATTCTTTTTTATTTCATATTGTTCGAGGATTACCACTATAATAATAATAATAATAATAATAATAACGATAATAACAACAACAACAACAAAACAACAATAAGAATTATTATTATTAGTACTATTATTAATAGTAATAACTATTACTAATTATTAATAATAATAATTATTATTAAAAATACTACTACTACTACTACTAATAATAATAATAATATTAATATTAATAATATAATATTTAATATTATTATTATTAAAAACAAACATTATGAATTCAATTTTAATGTGGCACTGTGCTGGTATCAGTCATAATTTCATGTAATGAGGGAGCTTTTAGAGGTGGACGTCTGGTTCCTATCACCACCACTGTGAACAGTTCTGACTCTGTAAGTGTCTCTAGAACAGAGCGTTTCACACCAAACCACTCTGAACAACTCTGAACCGCTCTGAACCACTCTGAACCGCTCTGAACCACTCTGAACCGCTCTGTTTACATCTCAACTATTTGATTATGTTGCATTTCTTGAAAATTTGGTGGAATTTCCATCTCTGGGGCAGGACAAGGCATACTAAGCTGAGACTTAAGGGGCTTATTAGGCTTTATTAATTATATAGTTGTTGTTGCACTTCAACCTCATGTCTCCATTTTGTCATTTTTTACTCATTTGAACTCAATTTTAATAAATTAATCAAATGTAATGATGAATGGATCAATAGATATGGTTAAGAATTATTAGGCACAAAAATCGTGTTGCCTTTTCAGAGATATGAGGTTTTGTTGTGACACTGCTGATATACTGAAATTGTGAAATTGCGGTCATGGGTATAAGGGGGGTTTATATGCGTATAAGAGGAGTTTGCATATCGCTGCTGTCGGAAGAAAACCTCCAAAATGGTAACTTTACAGGAGAAGGAAAAAAAACTACTTTACTCTTAATGTAAGTCAATGGAATTTATATGTGTACGAGGAGGTTTGGATGTGGATAAGAGAGTTTATATCTGTATAAGGGAGGGAGGGGGGGGTGTATGAGTACATGGGGAGCTGTGGTACCTGTGGAGTTCGGTGCAGCTCATACAGACTCAGTTCCCACGACTTACTGGGCATCTGTACACTGAGCGGATTCGCCATCATAGCCTGAAACAACACAGAGCAGAGTCTGGTTAAAACTCTTACAGTTTCTATCACTATCAATCTAAATCAGTCAGCCAGGCTTAATGACAACAATAATACTGTCAATAAATCGATCAGCCAGGCTTAATGACCCCAACAACACCGTCAATAAATCAATCAGCCAGGCTTAATGACACCAACAACACCGTCAATAAATCAATCAGCCAGGCTTAGTGACACCAACAACACCGTCAATAACTCAATCAGCCAGGCTTAGTGACACCAACAACACCGTCATAAATCAATCAGCCAGGCTTAATGACACCAACAACACCGTCAATAACTCAATCAGCCAGGCTTAGTGACACCAACAACACCGTCAATAAATCAATCAGCCAGGCTTAGTGACACCAACAACACCGTCAATAAATCAATCAGCCAGGCTTAGTGACACCAACAACACCGTCAATAACTCAATCAGCCAGGCTTAGTGACACCAACAACACCGTCAATAAATCAATCAGCCAGGCTTAGTGACACCAACAACACCGTCAATAACTCAATCAGCCAGGCTTAGTGACACCAACAACACCGTCAATAACTCAATCAGCCAGGCTTAGTGACACCAACAACACCGTCAATAAATCAATCAGCCAGGCTTAGTGACACCAACAACACCGTCAATAAATCAATCAGCCAGGCTTAGTGACACCAACAACACCGTCAATAAATCAATCAGCCAGGCTTAGTGACACCAACAACACCGTCAATAAATCAATCAGCCAGGCTTAGTGACACCAACAACACCGTCAATAAATCAATCAGCCAGGCTTAATGACACCAACAACACCGTCAATAAATCAATCAGCCAGGCTTAATGACACCAACAACACCGTCAATAAATCAATCAGCCAGGCTTAATGACACCAACAACACCGTCAATAAATCAATCAGCCAGGCTTAGTGACACCAACAACACCGTCAATAAATCAATCAGCCAGGCTTAGTGACACCAACAACACCGTCAATAAATCAATCAGCCAGGCTTAATGACACCAACAACACCGTCAATAACTCAATCAGCCAGGCTTAGTGACACCAACAACACCGTCAATAAATCAATCAGCCAGGCTTAGTGACACCAACAACACGTCAATAAATCAATCAGCCAGGCTTAGTGACACCAACAACACCGTCAATAAATCAATCAGCCAGGCTTAATGACACCAACAACACCGTCAATAAATCATCAGCCAGGCTTAATGACACCAACAACACCTTGAACAATAAATCAATCAGACGCAGTAACAGTAGAACAGCAGTAGAACAGCAGGTCAGGTCCAGTTCTAGTCCAGTTCTGCTGCTGGTGTCTCTGCTGTCTGACTGCTCTGTTGTGTTGTTGTGGTGTGTTGGTCTGATTCCAGTCTGATTCCGTGTGTAACTCTGCTGGTTACCGTGTTTCCAGGTGTTGGAGGTGTTAGAGTTCTCAGTTCAGCTCTGATTCTGTTTGGGGTCTCTGAGATCCTCTTCTTCTTCTTCTCCTTCTTCCTCTGTGAAACGCAGCAGCTTCACTGCACCTTCCTCTCCTCACGGAGCTTCATCTCCAGCCCGCTGCAGCGCCGCTGGATCCGCGTTTCCGGTGAATTTAATCCAGAACATTCAAATCGATCAAATCTGATTATTGTTGATATTTTTGTTGCAACTTGCCCCGTTTCTCCGGATGTTACCTCCTCCAGACTTCCCCAGACTTCCTGTAGCGCTCGGCTGAGTTCTGCACATTAGCGGCTGCTGGCGGCCAGCGGCGGTACTGCAGGCAGCGCTATAGAGAAATCACTGTAATATGTAATTATTACACAAAATAAACCATTTATAGGTCATTTAAATCAAATAGCTTAGAATACGTAATGTTACCATATACAGTTCAAGGGAAATAATGTAATCTATCGCTTTTTACAAGAAATAATGAAGATAATCTTTTATTAAATAGATCCTTTGATGCAAAGAAGAAGCTACAGAAATTGAAATAATAAGAATACATGATAGTTTCAAAAAAGTAATTGCAACATAGGAAAAAATGAGTACATTGATTATAAAGCAAATGACAAAAAATAAGAATAAAACATGAAAACTCGTCAACATTTAAACAAAAAGAAGAATGAAAAAGACAATTTTATTACCAACTAGAACAAATAAATAAGCTTAGTTTTAAATAAGCTGTTTGTTGAGGTGGTTTTATATAATGTCTGTATTTCTGTTCTTCATTAAATGATACATTTCTCTGACTGTAATCTAAGGGGGCTGAGAGGGACGACTAGTGTTATATATTTGTATAAAGAAAATAGTAGTAAAAGTGTAATAAGCGGGTGGGATTAGGAATACTTTGGTGGGCTTCATGGGCCAATTTTGGGCTGATAACTGTCGTGAAGAAAACTGAAAAACATACAAACCTCTGACTGGTAGGGTGTGTAGATGCATAACCCGACTAAAGTTCAGAGACGTCCAGCTTTTACAGTGTTTTTAATACAAATCACTGTGTTATTCTTTGACTGTTTGCAATAATGTAAGATATAATTTTATAATATAATTTTACTGAATGGGTTTAGAGTCAGAGTTGAAAAGGCATTTGTACTTCAATCAATCAGTCAATCAGCTTGTATTTGAACATTGTACATTATGGGTGTTAAGGCGGCACGGTGGCGCAGTGGGTAGCGCTGTCGCCTCACAGCAAGAATGGCCTGGGTTCGATTCCCGGCCGGGTGACCAGGGTCGTTTCTGTGTGGAGTTTGCCTGTTCTCCCCGTGTCTGCGTGGGTTTCCTCTGGGTGCTCCGGTTTCCTCCCACAGTCCAAAAACATGCAGTCAGGCTGATTGGACATGCTAAATTGCCCCTAGGTGTGAGTGTGTGTGTGGATGTATATGTCTGTTTGTCTGCCCTGCAATGGACTGGCGACCTGTCCAGGGTGTATCCTGCCTTCCGCCCGATGACAGCTGGGATAGGCTCCAGCACCCCACCGCGACCCAGAAGGATAAGCGGTTTAGATGATGGATGGATGGATGGACATTATGGGTGACGCTTATTTACAGTGTAGTCAAGCATTGTACAGCAACACAAGGGACTGAGAAGAGTCAACACATTATGTATTTATGGCAGTAAAAGTATAGCAAAGAAAATAAATAAAACCAAAAGATATGTTATTAAAACACACACAACAAATACAAAATAGGAAACTTTAAGACAAGTAAGAGTAATTATATACTTTGCCTTTCTAACCAGCAGTTCTACCTGAGAGTTTGCTTGGTTTTCCAGATCTTGCTTTGACTTCCTTCTTTCTTAATGACGTTAACACAGTGGAAAGTGTGAGCTGGAAGCTCTTTGATTACTTTTATAGTGTTGAGATGTTCAGCCAGCTGCTTAGAGGAGCTATGAATATTGAGTTTTAGTGGTCTGAATATTATATATATATATATATATATATATATACACACACTGATCAGGTATAACATTATGACCACCTCCTTGTTTCTACGCTCATTGTCCATTTTATCAGCTCCACTTACTATATAGGAGCACTTTGTAGTTCTACAGTTACAGACTGTAGTCCATCTGTTTCTCTGATACTTTGTTAGCCCCCTTTTACCCTGTTCTTCAGTGGTCAGGACCCTCATGGACCCTCACAGAGCAGGTACTATTTGGGTGGTGGATCATTCTCAGCACTGCAGTAACACTGACGTGGTGGTGGTGTGTTAGTGTGTGTTGTGCTGGTCTGAGTGGATCAGTGATCTGTGACCACTGATGAAGGACTAGAGGATGACAAACACAAACTGTGCAGCAGCAGATGAGCTATCGTCTCTGACTTTACATCTACAAGGTGGACTGACAAGGTAGGAGTGTCAGAGTGGACAGTGAGTGGACACAGTGTTAAAACTCCAGCAGCACTGCTGTGTCTGATCCACTCACACCAGCACAACACACACTAACACACCACCACCAAGTCAGTGTTACTGCAGTGCTGAGAATGATCCACCACCCAAATAGTACCTGCTCTGTGAGGGTCCATGGGGGGTCCTGACCACTGAAGAACAGGGAGTGTAGAAACAAGGAGTCATAATGTTATGCCTGATCAGGATCAGGATCAGTGTGTGTTTGTGTATATATATATATATATATATATATATATATATATATATATATATATATATATATATATATATGTATATATATATATATATATATATATATATATATATATATATACATATATATATATATACATACATATATTGGAAGAAAACCTTCTATGTCCAAAAAAACACTTTTAATGTAGTCAATGGAACTAGACTTTTTTCCAAGTCATTTTGGGTCATTTCTATTGATCCATTTATCATCAATTTATTTATCTATTTATCTTCAAAGTATGCTAAAAAAATGACAAATTACACTAAAAAATGACAAAATGGAGATACAAGGTTTCGTTCTGAGAGCAGAGGTATGTTTATGACAGTAAAAGTGTAGCAAAATGTGTTATATAAAAGAAATAAAAATTAGGAAACATGAAAACAAATAAGATTAAGTAAATACTAAACAAAGAAATACAAACAAATAAAACTGATAGCTCATATATTATGATAGACAATAATAGCAATGATAAAGTAGTAAAATGATGATAAACCATGGCACCAATAAAAATGACAGTCATCTATAATGTAACATATAACTGAGTTGGACTTTAGACTGAGTCCTTCAACTTTGAGTGATGTTGTACCTTCACTGTGTTTACTCTGTAGAACCGTCCATAGATGAGGAACTTCAGCACACAGGAACAAACCCAGTAACACTTTACTGAAGAGCAGCGTTCATACAGCTACATAAACATCCATAAACACTCACTCCAGCATGACTTTATACAGTCATAAAGGCTTATTTAGTCCATATTGATGTTATTTCACCTCAGCAGGTCTTATTACACTTGATGCTTATTAGATTGAGTGGTAAATGTTTCTGTAGGAGCGTGTCAGCTGTGATGAAGCGCTCGTGTAGGTGCTCCTCAGTAAAGTCACTGTAAAGATCAGACTGATTCACAGAAGAGAGGCGGGCAGAAATGACTGGAGACTCAATAAACGTCTTTATTAATACCTTTATTACTTTATTGATCTGATATATTTAATACAGATAGAGCAGATCAGCAGAGCTCTGAGTCTCTCAGCCTTTCAGACTCGCAGATGGTCTTCAATCTCTTCTGTAAATATACCAGAGAGAGAGAGAGAGAGAGAGAGAGAGAGAGAGAGAGAGAGAGAGAACAGAGTGAGAGAGAGAGAGAGACTGAGGGGGATTAGCCCCCTGTGTGTGTGTGTGTGTGTTGAGCAGTGATTAGTGTGGTCAGTGAACCTGTTTAACATTCAGCTCAACCATTAGCATATTAATACTCTCTCTCTCTCTCTCTCTCTCTCTCTCTCTCTCTGCTTCTTCTTTTTTATCCTCTCTTTTCTATCTTCCTCTTTCCTATCTCTCTCCTCTCTCTGCTGCTCTCTCTGTGTTTTTCTCTCTGTCTTCCGTCCTCTTGTATTCTCTCTCTCTCTTTCCCTCTTTTCTCTTTTCTTCGTTTGGCTCAGCTGTGATTTCCTTCTCCCCAAAACAAACATGTTCTAATTCAGATACTCTTTTATTCTCCCCCTCTCTCTCTCTCTCTCTCTCTCTCTCTCCTTTTTCTTTCCTTCACATTTCTCAGCTTTCTTTCTTTTTTGACTTTCTTTTTTTACTCTTTTCTTTTTCTCTCTTTTTTCTCTCTGCTAGAGCTCTACCCTCTCTCTCTGTCTCTCTTTCTCTTTATCAATTTCTCTTTCTCCTCTCTCTCTTCACACTCATCCTCTCTCTTTTGACTTTCTTTTCTTTCTCTCTTTTTCTTTCTTTCTTTCTCTGTTTGTCCTCTCTCTGTCTTTATCTCTCTATCTCTCTCTTTTCTGTTTTCTTTCCTTTGCATTTCTCTTCTTTCTTTTCTTTCTCGCTCTCTTTCTTTCTCTCTGTCTGTCCTCTCTCTCTCTCTCTGTCTTTATATCTCTATGTCTCTCTTTCCTTTTTCTTTCCTTTGCATTTCTCATCTTTCTTTCTTTCTTTCTTTTTTTCTTTCCTTCTTCTTTGACTTTCTTTTATTTTTTCATTCTCTTTCTCTTTATCTGTCTTCCTCTCTGACAGATCTCTGTCTCTCTCTCTTTATTCCTTTCTCTCGTTCTCTTCTCACTGTCTTCCTTTTCTTTCCTTTACATTTCTTCTTTCTGTCTCTTCTCTCTATATCTTTTTGTTTCTTTCCTTCAAGTTTTTCATCTTTCTCTCTTTCTTTCTTCTTTGACTTTCTTTTCTTTCTCAGCCCTATGTTTTCTCTCTCTCTCTCTCTATCTCTCTCTCTCTCTCTGTCTGTCTCTTTCTCTCTCTCTCTGTCTGTCTCCCCTCTCTCTCACTCTCTGAATAGCTGAAACAGTGTGATGTGATGAATCTGAACGTCTGAAAGACGGAGACAAGTGAATGAAGGAGACGGGTCTGTCGTTTATCTGGAGGAGGTGCAGGTGTGCTCAGACGGTCAGGAGCATGATGTCCATCCACAACTCCTGATATCAGACAGCTACAAGAATTGCGTTTGGACAATCAGCTCCGGACCACCAGACCATCAGACACAGGGATGAAGAGCAGAACAGAAGAAAGGAGAAATGAGGAGGAGAGGAGAAGAGAAGACAGGAGTCATGAGGA